TAGACCAGTGATGGCGAACCTATGACACGCGTGTCAGAGGTGACACGGGAACTCATTTTTTTTGGTTGATTTTTCTTTGTTAAATGGCATTTAAATATATAAAATTAATATCAAAAATATAATTCTTTGTTTTACTATGGTTGCAAATATCAAAAAATTTCTATCTGTGACACGGCACCAGAGTTAAGTTAGGGTTTTTCAAAATGCTGACACGCCGAGCTCAAAAGGTTCACCAGCACTGTGATAGACAGTTCTCTGTTACCCTTTCAATGAACATGCATTTTTTAAATTCTTATTTTATTTGATTTTTAAAATATATTTTTTATTGATTTCAGAGAGGAAGGGGGAGGGGGAGAGAGAGAGAGATAGAAACATCAGTGATGAGAGAGAATCATCGATCGGCTGCTTCCTGCACGCCCCCGACTGGGGATGGAGCCTCTAACCCAGGCACGTGCCCTGGACTGGGAATCGAATGGTGACCTCTCGGTGCATGGCACAAGGCTCAACCAACTGAGCCACACCAGCCAGGGCAATTAACATACGTTTTAATAAGGACTTCCTTAGTCAATGCCTAGAGCAGCAGTTCTCAACCTGCGGGTCGCGACCCCTTTGGCGGTCGAACGACCCTTTCCCAGGGATCGCCTAAGAGTAAGACCATCCTGCATATCAGATATTTACATGACGATTCATAACAGTAGCAACATTACAGTTATGAAGTAGCAACGAAAATAATTTTATGGTTGGGTCACAACATGAGGAACTGTATTTAAAGGGCCAGAGGTTGAGAACCACTGGCCTAGAACAAAACACCACGAAGTGTTTTCTAAGAGTTCAGTTAACACTCAGAATTGTGCCGGGGTCCCAGGCATGTGGCTGCTACGTAAGGCATCTGCCTCCTAGAAGTAGAATTTCCAGCCCGATGCGCCGGGGAAGGGGCTCGGCTCTCTGCGGGGCCCCAGTCTTTCCTGCCGATACCAGGGCTGGGCTGCATCCTCCGTGTTTCCGTAGGGCCACCCCAACGTGATCTCCTGCATGTGCGTCAGCGAGGACAGGCGGTGGATCGCCACGGCCGACAAAGGGCCCAACTGCCTGTTGATGATCTGGGACTCCTTCACAGGGTAGGCTTGGCGCCGTCACTCCCTCCCCTCCCCCCGCCGTCACAGTGCCGTGCGTGCGGGGAGGTGAAGCCAGGGATGGGGCACAGGTGAGTGGGAGGTTGCCCGGGAAGCCCGGCTGTCTTGTCGCCTCCAGGCCTGATGGACATGGCCTGGGCGAATTTCCCGTTTACGATTCTTGGTTCTTTCAGCCCAGAAACTCCGTTTGTTGTGCCCCAGAGTGGCCTGGGCTGAGGGGGGCCAGGTCGCACTACCCGGCTTGGAGGCCCAGAGAAGTGAGGACTGTCCCCGTCCAGTCATACCTGTCGTTTTCCTTTCCCGCGGCTGCTGCACAGAAGGACCACCAGCTGGGTGGCTTAAAAGAACAGATTTCTCAGTTCACGAGTCCAGCAGTCGGAAGCCGGCTGGTTCCGACTCTCCTGGGAGAGTCTGTCCCATGTCCTCTCCCAGCTGCTGGTGGCGGCCGGCGAGCCCCAGTGCTCATGGCTAGTAGACCAGTCCTCCAGGCTGTTTCCATCCTCACACGGCCTTCCCCCTACGCGTCTCTCTGTGCCTTCTCTTCTGTGCAGACACCAGTCATTGGATTCAGGGCCCACCCTCGTCCAGTGTCACCTCATCTGAACCGAATTAATTACATCTGCAAAGCCCCTGTTTCTAAATGAGATCACATTCGGAGGTTCTGGGTAGACAGGAATTTCACTATCCAGACCACGGCCCTAACCTGCCAGGATTGTGGGGGAGAGCGGCGGGCACAGTGCCTGGCGCCTCTTCACGGAAGCTCCTCCTCCCCAGGCCTTGTGGGCCCCTTGCAGTCGCTTATCCTTTGATTTTTTTTCTTTCTTCTTCTTTTTAAAAAATATATATTTTATTGATTTTTTTACAGAGAAGAAGGGAGAGGGATAGAGAGCCAGAAACATCGATGAGAGAGAAAGATTGATCAGCTGCCTCCTGCACGCCCCCCACTGGGGATGCACCCGCAACCAAGGTACATGCCCTTGACCGGAATCGAACCTGGGACCCTTCAGTCCGCAGGCCGACGCTCTATCCACTGAGCCAAACCGGTTCGGCCTTTGATTTTTTTCTTATTTATAAAGCTGTCTCCTCCCCCACTAGACTGGGAGCAACATGAGGCAGTGATTTTTTTTTTAATTACAAAGTAAAGCATATCTATCCCAGCCAGGTGGCTCAGTTGGTTGGAGCATCATCCTGCACACCAAAAAGTTTGCAGGTTTGATTCCTGGTCAGGGCACATACCTAGGTTGCAGGTTCAATCCCCAGTCATGTGCTTGTGGGAGCAACCAATGTTTCTCTATCACATCAGTGTTTTTTTTCTCTCTCTCTCTCATCCTCTCTCTCTAAAATCAATAAGTAGCCAACCGACTTAGTGATTGAGTGTCAACCCATGAACCAAGAGGTTCGATTCCTGGTCAGGACATATGCCTGGATTGGGGCTCAATCTCCAGTAGGGGGTGTGCAGGAGGCAGCCAATCCATGATTCTCTTTCATCATTGATGTTTCTGTCTCTCTCCCTCTCCCTTCCTCTCTGAAAAAAAAAATATATATCTTCAGGTAAGGGTTAAAAAATTCAAGCAATAGGTCACTATGAGTTTTATAATTTGCAAATGACTTGGGGACCCAGAAAAGATTATTTGGTTTGGAATTAATATTCACTTTATTAAAGTGACAAATTGAAAATTATAGTTCTTCTTTAAGCTTTTTCTTCAACTTTTAAATCTTATTTTATTTATGAGCCTAGCATATTTTTGCAATCTCCTTTAAGGGGACTTTGATTAATGTTTGGCTCCACTTACAAATTTGATTATTTACTCATTTTAAACATTTTAAGCTGCATTTAAAAGTTGAATATACTTGATTTCATCTTTAAGTTCTGTAGTAGTCTCATTAACAACTAAATCCTTCACCCATGCTTAAGTGATTCTTGTAAATCTAATAAATTAGACATAAGTATGGCAAATCTTAAGTTCTCTTAAGCGTCCTAATATTGTTTATAAACCTAGTACGATTTGAATTTAAAATTATAAGTCAAAATCAATTATGTACTTTGAATTAGAATCACAAATATAATATTAGAGACTTTGATATATTAAATTCTCTTAAACATCACCCATACTATCTAATAAAGAGGCAATATGCAAATTGACCATCACTCCAACACACAAGATGGCCGCTCCCATGTGGACACAAGATGGCCAGCAGGGGAGGGCAGTTGGGGGGACCAGGCCTGCAGAGGAGGGCAGTTGGGGGTGTCCAGGCCTGCAGGGGAGGGCAGTTGGGGGTGACCAGGCCTGCAGGGGAGGGCAGTTGGGGGGACCAGCCTGGCAAGGGAGGGCAATTAGGGGTGACCGGGCTGGCAGGGGAGGACAGTTAGTGGCAATCGGGCCAGCAGGGGAGCAGTTAGGCGTCGATCAGGCTGGCATGGGAGTGGTTAGGGGCAGTCAGGCAGGCAGGCAGGCGAGCGGTTGGGAGCCAGCAGTCCTGGATTGTGAGAGGGATGTACGACTGCCCGTTTAGGCCCGATCCCGGTGGGCAGTCAGACATCCCTCGAGGGGTCCCAGATTGGAGAGGGTGCAGGCTGGGCTGAGAGACACACACCCCTGTGCACGAATTTCATGCACCGGGCCTCTAGTTCCTAATAAGAAGCAACTGATTCTCTAATCACAAATATGTTAAGAGTGTAGGTCTGGTCCTACCTGGTTTGGCTCAGAGGATAGAGTGTCAGCCTGCAGACCAAAGGGTCCCTGGTTCAAGTCCCGTCGAGGGCATGTATCTTGGTTGCAGGCGCCTCCCTGGCCCGGCCCTGGTCAGGGTGCGTACAGGAGGCAATCAGTCGATGTTTCTCTCACGTCAGTGTTTCTCTCTCTCTGTCTCTCCCTCTTTCTTCCACTTTCTCTAAAATCAATGGAAAAATATCCTTGGGTGAGGATAAAAAAAAAAGTGTAGGTTTGACTGATTTCATCTTCTCTATATTGAATTCTAAATCTCCCCAGGGGTAAGATATATCTTCCAACTAAGGACATCATTGTGCCATTCCCAACAACGTGCGGACCACCTTTCCACATGAATGTTTGGGGTGGCTACACAGTGGGATGGAGTTTCCCGGGCGACAGAGAAGCAGGCTGGCCCTCAGCTAGCACACGGACCTGGTTTTGGCCAAGCAGGACACTGATCGTATTCTCTGGACCAACAGCTCCATAATGAAAAAAAAAGGGGCGGGGGGAGCTGGTAGCCAGGTTCCTGGATTGCATCTTCTTGCCACCACCCACTCTTCATTTCTGATGAAGTCAGGGACCCCAACATGACAGCGTACTTCCATCATGGCTTCTGTTGTCCGTTGCATTCCTTTGGCTCTCTTAGATGTTTAAATGTACTGATTAATCTCTGCATGTGTCGAGGCTTTGTCTGTTTCTTACAGTTCTAACATCTTGCCAAGTGTCACAGTACAGAAGTTTATAAAAAAAAAAAAATAAAGTCCTTCGCACTCAAACCCCTTCTCCAAGTCACCATTGTTTAGTTGGGAATCTATTCCTATAAACACACACACACACACACACACACACACACACACACAATCAGAACATGCTGTGTATACTGTTTTGCAATTTGCTTTTTTCACAAAATTGTGGTGACTTTCCCCAATCTACCTTCTTCTTTTTAAAAAAATACCTTTTTATTAGCTGTGGTACATTTATATCATGGAATACTATGCAGTGGTAAAAAAGAAGGATCTCTTACCCTTTGAGACAGCATGGAGGGATCTGGAGAGCATCAAGCTAAGTGAATAAGTCAGTCAGAGAAAGACAAGAATCACATGATCTCACTCATATGTGGAATCTAATAAAATAAACTGATGAATGGAGTGGATCCAGAGACATGGAAGCATGGGACAGAGTGCGGAATCTCGGAGGGAAGGTAGGGGAGGGTGGGTAGGTGGGAGGTAATCAACCAAAGACCTTGTATATATATATATGCATGGCCCATGGACACAAGGGGGTACGGGGCTGGAGGGGGTCAATGGGGGAAAAATAAGACATATGTAATGCTTTCAACAATAAAGAATTATTTAAAAATATCTTTTTTTTGATTTCATAGAGAGGAAGGGAGAGGGATAGAGAGAAACATTCAATGAGAGAGAATCATCGATTGGCTGCCCCTTGCACGCCCCCTACTGGGGATCAAGCCTGCAACCCAGGCATGTGCCCTGACCAGGAATCGAGCTGTGACCTGGTTCATGGGTCCATGCTCAACCACTGAGCCACTCCAGCTGGGCAGAAGATCTACTTTTAAAAGCATATTGGTCTTTGCATACAAATGGTTTGTGTGCCAGGATGAAGGAAAATCGTATTAAAAAAGGAATATTCAACAGTCTCATAAACAGTGAACCAAACCAGAAAATAATGACAATCATAGATGACATAATCTGTCAACTGAAAGTTAATAAGTAAATTTTTTCTTTTAAAGAATTTGGGGCCCTAGCTGGTTTGGCTCAGTGGATAGAGCCTCAGCCTGTGGACTAAAGGGTCCCTGGTTCAATTCCTGTCAAGGGCACATGCCTAGGGTTCGGGATCTGTAGAGGGCCGCCTGGGAGGCACCTAGGCATTTTCTTATTATTGTCAGCTGAACCCAGAGCATAAGCAGAGCCACGCCCTGGGAACATGCTTCCCCAATA